TCATAAAAACGACGAGGTCCATTCGTCGCATGTACCTTTTATCGCACAAGTATGCAGTATAAAATTCTACAATTCTACAAAAACATGAGGTCCAAAAATTGCGCGCGACCGAGGAGACAAATATGTGCGAAGATTACGTTTGATTTTCTGTCACGATATATATATTTATCTTTATATATTTTTTTTTTTCGGGATTTTCGACACTCGAATGCACACGAAATTTTTTACTTGTTGTTAGGATTATCATGTCGCTTCCATCATATTTCAAGAATGCTTTTATATACGCGAATTTATATTTATAATTAAATTAATAATAACTTTCAATTATATATCTGCGATATTTTGTCTGTGAGAATTTTTCTGTGATAATCTTTTAAGATTATGATATATTCTTGTATGTAAATTTTTATTTAAAAATCTACAACCTTTGAGAAAAAAATGAAAAAGGAAATTGCAATTATCACTTAAAAACGGGAGTTTATATTTTATAATAAAAAATATGTATAAAAAAAAATTTGTTAAACTAGCATTTATAACTCGATCTCTTGCATATTAAATTTCCCAGTGATTTTCAAAGAATATCAAATTTAAACACGCGTTCGAGAACTTCAAAATTTGTTTGATTTAGAATCTTAGAAAAATAGAAAAGTTTCGTAAAGAACGTCTACTTTCTCGGATCAATTATTTCAAGGAGAAAAAGGAGCGATTCGAGTAAAGATACACGAGCAATGAGTGCCGATGCGATCGATCGACCTCGAGACTGCATCGTGTCTCGCTGCCAAATGGTCCAAAATCTTCTAAGGATCACGCCAAGTATCGGTATATAATACGTGGCACTTGCTAAAAATCACGCTGTGTTATCACGAGCGCAACGGATCTGCTAGCCAGTCCGAGCGAGCGATAAGCTCGAAGGTTCCTCTTCTCTCTCTCATCTAACCGGAGAGAGACATCAGTCAGCTCGCGTTCGAGAGTACGATTTCACGATCTTTTTTTTCAACTTGCGCATAACATGTGACATCCGCCCGTCGTCCGAGATGGAAATGATCGTATGGAGTTGACCCGCGATGTTACTGGATATTGCTTTCCAGAGTATATCCAGATTGTTTGTTCGGCAACTTAATTTAGTCGAACGAAAAAAATCGGAGAAATAAAAGCGCAAAGCGAGAGACACGAGATGATGACGTAAAAGGATTGCATAAAAGAAAATAATCGTCGTATATTGTTTGGAAATTGCTAAAACCTGTTTTTTAGCTCAAAATAAGGGAAATATATTTCGGATAATATCTTAAAACTAAAATGTACAAGAGTTTTCGAATAAAGAATACACGGTAAATATAGGAATAATAAATTAAACAATCTTACTCTTCGTAAAATTTGATCCGTTTCTGTAAATTCTAAAAAAAGAAAATATTAATTTTTTTTTCTAGATATATAACGCGTTTTGAAAAAAAAAAATATCTATATAAACAGCTTATATTATATCAAATAATTATAATAATCGAATAATTATAATTATCGAATTATTTTCGCGAATAATATGTATATATATCTTTTCCTAAAGATTTATATAATACGTATTATAGATACTATCAGATAAAATCTTCGTAGAAAATTTGTCGTGCGGTAATATAAAAATACTGTACAAAAATTAAATTATATATATAGGAAATAAATTTCACCTCTCCACAAACTCACACCAGCATTTCCATTTCTATACGTTACGGATGGCCCGGTTCACATTTCTCTGCGCTCAATTCCCCTCGAGAACATCGCCACGGAATAAAGTGCGTAGTATGTGATAGAATAACGCTTTTTTATACAGTCGTCCTGACGACAATCGTCCCTCTTGACAGAATCAATTAATCTCGTCGTATGAAATTTATTAACTCAACATTAATTAACGATTAATGATAATCGAAATTGAAATTCGCATCGCGTTATCAGAATGTCAATTTTTATATTACAATATAATTCACAATATAATTAATAATTGTTATATCTAAATTATAATGTAATGTAAGAATTTTTAGTTTTTTTTCAATTTTCTTTTTTTTTTTTAAATTATATTATACTATATAATTTTTTAAAACAGTGTGACTTTTTATTCTGACGCAATCCTATTTTCTCGCGCGGTCGAAACCGTGACTTTGCCGTGAAATCAATGTTAATAATAGTTTTTAAACAATCGACACGACGAGAAAGATTGATCGTGGATAAACGACCGTCGTCTGGCATGATTTTTACGGAGAGAAGCTATTGTTCCATGTGTGTTTCTCTCTCTCTCTCTGATCAACTGTCGTAATATTATTTTAAGAAATAGAGAACAGGGATATATTTTATATCTATAATATGTATATCGACTAATTAATATGCCACCTCTCGTAACCATCGAATAACGTTAACATAATCTCTCTCTCTCTCTCTCTCTCTCTCTCTCTCTCTCGCGTTCGAGAGTACGATTTCACGATCTTTTTTTTCAACTTGCGCATAACATGTGACATCCGCCCGTCGTCCGAGATGGAAATGATCGTATGGAGTTGACCCGCGATGTTACTGGATATTGCTTTCCAGAGTATATCCAGATTGTTTGTTCGGCAACTTAATTTAGTCGAACGAAAAAAATCGGAGAAATAAAAGCGCAAAGCGAGAGACACGAGATGATGACGTAAAAGGATTGCATAAAAGAAAATAATCGTCGTATATTGTTTGGAAATTGCTAAAACCTGTTTTTTTAGCTCAAAATAAGGGAAATATATTTCGGATAATATCTTAAAACTAAAATGTACAAGAGTTTTCGAATAAAGAATACACGGTAAATATAGGAATAATAAATTAAACAATCTTACTCTTCGAAATTTGATCCGTTTCTCTGTAAATTCTAAAAAAAGAAAATATTAATTTTTTTTTCTAGATATAACGCGTTTTGAAAAAAAAAAATATCTATATAAACAGCTTATATTATATCAAATAATTATAATAATCGAATAATTATAATTATCGAATTATTTTCGCGAATAATATGTATATATATCTTTTCCTAAAGATTTATATAATACGTATTATAGATACTATCAGATAAAATCTTCGTAGAAAATTTGTCGTGCGGTAATATAAAAATACTGTACAAAAATTAAATTATATATATAGGAAATAAATTTCACCTCTCCACAAACTCACACCAGCATTTCCATTTCTATACGTTACGGATGGCCCGGTTCACATTTCTCTGCGCTCAATTCCCCTCGAGAACATCGCCACGGAATAAAGTGCGTAGTATGTGATAGAATAACGCTTTTTTATACAGTCGTCCTGACGACAATCGTCCCTCTTGACAGAATCAATTAATCTCGTCGTATGAAATTTATTAACTCAACATTAATTAACGATTAATGATAATCGAAATTGAAATTCGCATCGCGTTATCAGAATGTCAATTTTTATATTACAATATAATTCACAATATAATTAATAATTGTTATATCTAAATTATAATGTAATGTAAGAATTTTTAGTTTTTTTTCAATTTTCTTTTTTTTTTTTAAATTATATTATACTATATAATTTTTTAAAACAGTGTGATATAATATTATAATATGTATATCGACTAATTAATATATCACCTTTCGTAACCATCGAATAACGTTAACATACTCTCTCTCTCTCTCTCTCTCTCTCTCTCTCTCTCTCTCTCTCTCTCTCTCTCGTTATACTCGCATGCGATATTGTGGCTGCCGCACGTGTTCATGGGCTCGACGTACATTGGTCTCACGCTTGCTCGCTAATTATACCTACGGTAATTGTGTCATTAGCAATAGTAATGGCTCTCGGGCGCCACTGATCGATCGCGGATTGCGTTCCAGGACAAAATATCAAGATTCACAATTATCACGTCACATGAGCTCGCGTCCTATCACATTATACAGTATATTATAGTATTAATAAAGGATCAATAGCGCATTAATAGCATTGATAATTATTAATTAATAATGTTGCTGTATTGATTTGTGGAGATCTATTCCGATTTATATTTTCATGTCTTATAATTTGATAATTTGCATATATATATAGTGATCAGTATTCAAATAATTTATTTGTCTAGAGCAATGTTACGTGGAATTTTCAAATTATCAGAAAAAGCCAAAAGTATGATATCCTTTCTACTAATGCCTCTGATCAATATCACATTTTTATAAAATAAAATATATAAGAAATAAAAAAATGTATAAAAAATAAATATGTAAAATGTACAAAAAAATAAAATATATTTTTTTTCTCTCTAATATAAAATACATTATTTAAATCTCTATGTATAATTTAAATTACATGTTTGCCCAATTCTTTCTTTTTTTTTTTTTTTTAAATACAAATAAGATTAAATCTAACACATATAATATTTTGACTGTTCGACGATATGACGCTACTTGATAAGACATGAGCTCGCGTATACGCGATAACAATGTACCTCTTTAGCTTGATACGCGCAACTTTTATGTGCACGAGAAGAGGATTCACATACGCACTTTAAAAGTGTATTCCCTAAAGTCACACGCGTTGCAAAAGTTATATATCGTATATTTTATAATAGGCGCACGTATATGCACGACGATTGGTGGGCATTCAAGTATTACAAAGAAGCAAGTGTGCAAATGCAATCTTTCTTACAATGGTAACGGGATTAATTATTTATCGATTTTTACGATATTTCTTCATAATTGCGCTAACAGAGGTATATACATCTTTTTTTCTTTAAATTAAATGCCACTCTTTCGCGGGAATTGTGTAAGAATCTCGAGACAAATTCAAATCCAATCGAATAATTACAACAGCTATTGAATAATGTCGTCGTCATCATGATTATAATAATCATCGAATAATTCGTCGAGTAACTATAATAATCACCGAACACAGTGTCCTGCGATCGTGCTTGTTCAATTTAATAGTCCTTCGCGCGTATGTTCTACGTAAAAGGAATATATATCCCCATAAACTATCAAGTTGCATAAAAAAATCACGGGTGATCCTTCTTTCAAGTCGCTTCTCTCTCTATCTCTTCTTTTATTATTATTATTATTTTTTTTTTTTATAATGCTTACATAGACATGCCTATTCTTAGCACCTTAGCCTGTACTTCGCGATGATCGGTATACGCCCTCTTTTTCTTTTATCGCCTCTAACACATCACCTTAAAATATACACTTATACGGTTCTGGTGTTTGTGTGCTTGTGTATATATACGGTGCCGTATGTATAATATATTTACGCAGTTATATATATTAATTTAGAATTGTGCAATGAAGGTATTTAGAGCCATTAGTGCGACTACTGCTGCGGATGTGGTTGGACGATGTCGTTCTCTCTCTTTCTCTTTTTTTCACACTCACTCTCTCTCTCTCTCTCTCTCTCTCTCTCTCTCTCTCTTTCTCTGTCTCGCTAATATCGTATATCGAGATTGCGGATGCATCTACAGATGCATTCCCGCGTTTGCCGGATCGGTATATTCGGTGGGCACGTCTTGTTCGTTCTTTGTTCCATTTCGATTTTCATATACGCCGACGAAAAACTTTCTCGTTAGCGCAATTCTATTCCAAGGTCGACCGAAGCTTCTCTCTCTATCTCTCTCTCTCTCTCTCTTGCAATTCAAGTATATTTAATCAAAGTGTGTTAGATATTTCAATTTATCTCAGGCACGAGCCTTTTTAATATCTCAGCCCCCTTCCTCCTTTTCCAGCTATTTAAAGTCCGTGCCGTTATAAGACGATGTGAGAGATCGTAGAGAAAGGGTTTCTATGTCCTTGGAAGCAAGATAGAACGATCGTTCGCGATTTATTAGCGATCGGATTTTCAGATCCATCGCTTCCGTTTCTGTCCGAGTAGGCGATCTTCCAATCTACTCGTCGCGTTTTCGTGCGTATTCTCGATTTTCTAATATTAAAAAAGATACTAAAACATAAAAATTTTTTTACAGCGCGATTTTTTATACCTTCGTTTCTTTTTTTCAATCTCGATTCGCTCTCGTTCGTTCATCGTCGATCAATTAAATCTCATCAGCTGCAACTTTATATATACATTTTCCTTTGTAAATTATCTTTAATTTCGGAAATGAATGTACCCTTCACTTCCAATTTTATTTGAGTTGCCCGTCATCCTAGTTTAGCTGCCATTCGTCATCTCGTTAACTAAATGAAACCCCGTTAAATTCGCGTCATCTTCGAGATTCCTCCTTATTGTAACATGGACGTTTATTTCCAACGGCAAAGCGTAATAATATCTGACGTTTTCTTCTCCTTCGGAGAAAAACGCTTCGTCAACACACTTAAGATTACTTTCGCATTCAATAACACTCGCTCTCAGTAACATTCCAAACAAGCTCTGCTCGAGTACTTTCAGTTTACTTCCGATTCTCGGTCTTCTCATCTGAAAACGTGCTGCATCGAATATTTTCTCTATCTCTCGCAACGTCTTTCTCGAATAAATAAAATCCCTACGTTGTCCCTCTCGAGTCTACGCCAGAGAGTCCCGTGTGTCCCTGTCATATATTCCGGAAAAAACGCGATCGTTTGGACCTTCGACCGTCCCGTTGGTCCGCTACATTGACAGATTCAGAGGCAACGGCGGCGGCGGCAGCAACAGCTGTTCGAGGTTCCTGGCGAGATCCTTTTGGCGGTCCCGCGTAGGACCCGCTCGTAGGGCGCGTTATACCCAGGAATCGCCGGCAGCGGCGGCGGTCGAACTCGGCGGTGGCACTTGATTAGCCACCGTCGATGTCACCGACGGGGCACCGGTGCCATCCGGTACCATTCCAACCCCGTCCGGTACCCATTGACCGCCACCGCCGCCGCCACCGGATATCGCGACGCCACCACTACCACCGGCCACTTGACCCACCTGGCCACCCTGGCCCACCCCCAGCTCGTACTGCCGCTTCTTTTTCTTCTCCAAGTTAACTTGCGCGTAGAGCGGCTCACCGGGTTTCGGCTGCTGCAACACACACAAGCCAACGGTTAGCCAGGTTCGCCGGTCGCGAGGGGGGGTGGGCGAAGGTGGGGGAGAGAACCGCGCGGCGCCTAGAACCTTCGGACGCTGAAAGAAGCTTAGACACTTTGGGGGATATTTTATATACAGTGTACTCTCGATATCGATCAAATAGTCTCATATCGACGGTTTTGCTCAAGTAATTTTCGAGGGAGCAAATTTTGTCATTTTAAAAGAAAAAAAAAATTATTTTACGAATAAATATTAGTTACAATCATTTTTTTGTTAATCTTTTTTTTTTTATTATCTCTTATTTCTTGATTTCCAAATAAATGATCGAGAGTACATTGTAATGTCTAGGCAAAATTACGTGGAGATGTGATATGTGACCTTTATTTGCAGTTAGGTATATATAGAAGCTAGCTAATATACATATTTTCAAGTAATTGTTTTCTTTTTTTATTACACTGCGCTCTAGTATTCAGCTAAATACAGAATATAAATGTTCCGACGTGAGTAATGCATAGATGAAATACACATGATATAAAGGTTATGAAGACGTGTGTGTGTGTGTGTGTGTGTGTGTTTACTATAAAAATTATATATAATAGAGTATATAATGTGCGTGGTTTTATTCTTTTATGTGTGATAAAATATAAATGAAATTTTACATTAATATTATCTTTTTATTATAAATCTTCAAGTTTTATTGAATAATATATTCTTACGTTATTGACAAATTAGAAAATTAAAAGAAAATTTTAAAAGATGTGTTATACTATAATATTAGTTAAAAAAATAAATTTTCACAAAATATATTGAGTTAGAAAAAGGATAATATAGTAAGCCTAAGAATTAAAATACTAATCTATCTAATCCTATATGGCATTGTATAAGCATGTTTAGTGTTCAATATCAATTATAAATCTGCGTATTTTAACTTACATATATATCAGTAGTTTTCTAGACTTATATACAAAATCGGGTATACAATAAAGAGTCATCATAGATTACATAATAATTTAGTTGTAAATACGTGTTATATTTCGCTAATAAAATCTAACTAAACAGTAGGACACTAAAAATTGAATCGTAAACTGAATTCGCTTTCTAATTCCAGAGAGACATAATACTTGTATATATAGTTTTATATAATTAATTAATTAATATATGAAACCACTTTTTTGTGTATATCGTTCGCTAAAGATTAAAATAATTGCTATTAATGTATGAAGGTGTTCGTTTAGGCAGTGATTTCATTAATGATTTTTTTTTTTTTTTAATCGTTAGTGTATAATATTGTGCGTTCCTTCGGAGACAGAAGTGTACAAAATGATGCGAATACATTGAATATCTTCGCGCTTTAGACCTATAACCGTTAATAGTAACATTGCGCGGTACATTTCTAAGATTATATATGCGATATCTCTTCTTCTCTTTTGTAACTAACTTAATTAGTAGTTGGAAAACTGTTATTAAAACCGTGCAAAAAGTTTCAGCATTTAGAAAGTGACTACGCGACGTTATTAAAAAGGGAGTTTGGTCCAGTTTCATGCGGTAATTCGTGTGAATGTTTTGCATAAATATTCTGTAAATTCTTATACAATCAGATTCGCATTCTACTAAATATTGTGTGAACGCGTTTTATATATGGTGGCTACTTTTAATTTTTGAATGTGTATAGTAACATTTATTATATCGAAAAGTGTTCACACACGCTTCGGTGTATACAATTTGTATTTTCCTTCTTTTTTTTTCGCACTTATCTTTAACAAAAAGTCTGCGTAACAAAAATAAAAATTTTACAAGATGTAAAATATCGATGAAAATATAGGAAGTTGGTCACATTGACACGAATTATTCAATTAAATTGTGTACGATGGTATCTCTGACAAATTACAGTTACTACATATTTAGCTAAAAATTATGTAGTGACATTCATTCGTTTTGGCACAATTAATTGCGCCACAAAGTAATCTCATTTTACGTGGATCTCTAACTGCTTTTTATCTCTGCACAACACTTTACAAATCTAAGCAGAGTTAAATGCGATATAAATGTTTAATGTACGATATATCCGGTAAGGAAGTGATGTCAAAAGATTACGACGATTTAAATTTTATTCCGTAATTCATGGAAGAACTATGATGGCAACGAATAATCGAGATTATAATCGAAAATTTCATCATTTACTGTAATATTTTCAAAGCAATAATAAGTAAATTTACTATTCTTTGAAGGTAATAATGAATAATGTCTGTAAAACATTTAAAATGCAAATGAATTCTCGTAAGATTGCGATTATTATATCAACATGAAATTTAATTAATTTAAAAACTGAATATTTTTACTGCTATAAATTTTTAAACGAGTGTTTTTTACTATTTGTTAAATATCAGTCGATGTAAAATTTTCTTTAAGACCGGCGATTTAATTTGCATATTATGTGCACGTGTATGTTTTTCTCTCGATAATTCTATACTATATTTTCTCTCTACGTGACGTGTATTTATATTTAGTGATGCTGTTAGTTATTGTTACTTACTGATTGATATATAGTAGGTCGACCGACATTATTCGAATTCATATTTGCTCGCTGGATTGTTCGATCCTCATATCTTGTGCTTCCCTGGCTCGCCATTGGTCGATTCAGAGTGCTGCAATCGTAGCTGTATTTTAACGTAGAATCGAGATGCTCGGAGAAATTTTGTGAAGAGACTCCACATAATAAAAATCACGAAATAAATTTAATGAAATAGAAAATCATAAACGAAAAATAAGTAAAGAGCGGAGTCTCAGAAATAAAAAAGTACCAACAAAACGACATAAATTTACACTCAAAAAAATCAAATGAATCTAAAAATGGTAATATAATAATATTTTCAATTGACATATATTTTCGTGGCATACTAAATTTTTGACATTTTCGAAACAACATCAAATGCCATAATATGTAATATAAATAAAATTCGTGGAAAATAAATTTATTAAATAAATATAAAATTTAAATAATGTATAATAAAGGATACTTAAAATTAACTAAAAGTTTTGTTTTGTTATCTATTCACACACGCGATTTTCTCATTTAATTTTTAAAGATCTATTACAGATATTAAGTCGATAATTTTATATTATTATTTTGATATCTAATTATTTACAGATAGATTTGATTATACTTCGTACATATTTAATTTTATTTATTGTATATAGTTCTATTTATGGGCAATAATTACCTGTTAGCATTATTGGGTGAATTAGGCCCTGAATTTCTGGCGGCGACGGTTTTCGTGACGAAATCTTGCTCCTTCCAACCATGCTTTTTATACACATCTCGTAGCTCTTGATGTTGCCACATGGTGAAAAGTACTTGTCCTAAAAATACATATAAATTGAATAATTTTAATTCATCAGAATCACTAGCAGTTAATTAAATCAATTAATCAAATCGATTATTTGACTCGTATGTATAATCAAATATTTATCTCAATTTAAATTCGTGCTCGGGTCTTACCTGCAAATTTAAGAACGCGTGGTGTGTATTTCTGGCGTTGCCTAGTGATGTTCATTAGTCTGTCGACACCGCCGGCATCGAGCAATGACCGCGAGAACTCGGCGTTCTTCTTGATGACCTCGTTTAATGTGGCGAGTACCGCGGCGATCGTGTCGTCGCTCGTGCCCTGATCGTGCTGATTATTTCCAGACGGAAGTTTTTGAATGAGATCCCTCATCGCGTACTTGCCTATTAGTTCCTTATTGCGTTGGTCTATCGCCAAATTCCTGAGCGCGGTCGCGACCGCGCATACTACTCGGTCCACCTGGCCACAGAAATCGCTTATGAGTGACAAGTTTAAAATTATTTTGGGAGACGGGGCATAATATATAACTCAAAATATTTTGAATAATTATTATCAATAATTTTTATCAATATTTATATAGTACGAATATAATTAAAACGTAAAGAAATAAATGTCAGAAATTTTGATAAAAATATTTTTATACATAAAGTGGTAGATATTAATTTAGTAAAATACATACGATATGATACAAATAATAATTGAATNAAATTTGATGCCTGTGTATATATATATATATTATATATTGTATTTTAAAAATTATATCTACTCCCTACAATATATATTATATTTCAATATTACTACACAGTGTGATTCATACCTCCATTCTTAAGAGTTCCACTAATATAGGGAGACCTTTCTCTTTGCGAACAGCCGCGCGAATTTCGATACTCGGCTGCCAGTAACAGGCGGCGAGATTTTGCAAGGCCCCGGCTGCAGCTTCTAGTGTTTCCGGATTCGAGCATGTTTGCAAAAGACTAAGATACGATTGAACCACTTCCGGTTGCCAGAGCAATTCCATTCCTCTGACTGGTTCGGTTCGTGGATTTGTCGTACGTGACGTGGTGGTTTCCTTTTGGACCGGTTGACCGTCTTTCTTTTTCTTGCTACCGCCGAAACAACCCAGATTTTCACCTAAAGCAGAGAATGACAGAAAATTTATATTAATATATTATAAGGGAATATATAAAAAAAATTATAAAATCAAGAGAGAGAGAGTCGAATATATCTTATTGATTTTTCTTTCTGAGTTTGTGTCATATTTATTTGTATTTAATTATTGAATCTTGCTTTTGTTTTTTGACAAGATTTTTTTTTATTGCTTATTCTACGATATTGCAACATAATTAGAGCAATATTGATTAATATTGATCAATATTGAGAAAAGTTCGACTTTTGTGTTCCTAAAATGCTGAAATTCTATTTTTATATTTCTATCTAGCTAACCTACTAAATTAAATAAATTATTTATCTACTTAATAAAAGAAATCACAAATGAAACTGTAAACTATCTGCCATACTTTACAACAAGCTCGTTTAATTTGTCAGTCAATTTTACATTGAATTTTAGCGCAAAATAGACAGTGTATGCAGAAATATAAATTATTTGCTTGATAAGATAATAATTACGACTTTCAAAATTAAAATTAAAAAAAATTTACAGGAAAATATAGATTTAGCTAACGATGTAACAAAGCAAAGCATGCAACAATTATGCCTTTGAATGAAAACTAATTATCGATGGAAGAGGGGGCTTACCTTGACATAAACTGTATGCTAAAAAGATTGAAACACAGTTTAATCCATGCTGAACTAGGATTCGTAAAAAATTGATAAGATTCATAAACTAAATACAAAAAAAAAAAAAATCTTTTTCTATAGGATTCATATATATCGAACTATTATTTCAAAAAAATAAAAAGGTAAAAATAAAAAGTACAAACAAAGATATACAAAATACAGGATTATCTTTGTGTATATATATTTCTGGACACACTGTATATATCTATCCGTTTCTAAAATAGTAAAATGCAAATTAATTGGTAGAAATCAAAAGATAATGTGATAATAAATTAATTGTAAAAAATATCTCTCTGAAACATAAATTTATCTCTACGCAAACTATCTACTCTTGATTGTAACGTTTTACTATCACAACTTTTCTAAGTACGTGATTTACGGTTTGCAGAGTTAATTTCGTCCACGCGCCACCTGAAAACTTCCGGTAAATCGATCCGAAAGTTTTAATCAAATTTTAATACGCTATATAAACTAACTATCTACAACTACTGCATCATAAAATATTAGACTGAGTGTTCGCGAAATACGAGCGTGTGATAAGATTAACTATAATTTCATCGGAAGTTATGTTATAATTATCTAAAAGAGTAATTATAAATGTTTAATGACTTTTGCATACATAAATATTTTAGATGAAAATTGTGGGTATTTTAGAGCTTTAAATGCAAAAAAATCTGAAAAAATACAGAGAAAGAATTGCATAATTATAAAATAATTTTATAAACGTGCACGTTAATGACATTTCGAAAAATTATATATATTTCGTCTAAATCTAATATAATTATAAAACTTAGCATAAGATAAACTGTATCTAAAAGCAACATATTTATATGATAGTTTCGCGCGATAGCTAGAAAAGAGTGTCCGCAGCAGAGAGGCTGCGTGTTCCCCTGCGATCTAATTTCATGGTTGGTTTAAGGGGTGAATCATTTGCCTCCTCTCGGTCTTTACACAACACACATACACGTACATACAATGATCTGCATCTACATGCATACCGAGGGAGACTCGTGCATGTTGCGGAAAAACATATTCGTTCCAAAAGCGATGCTCTCTTGAGAGATATTTTTTCCTCTCCCTATCACTGCAATTTATTTAAAGTAATGTGTTCACAATCGACTATGCAAGTTTCACGATTGCAGTAGATTTGTCAGTAATTACACGTGTCACTTTCAATATGGTGAATAATTAAGCGATTTAACGCGATTCGTCAAAAATTCGAGAAAAAAATAAAACTTAATTGTATTAATTGCGTGTTTATTTAGCCTTGATTTAATTGATTTATAAGACCACATTGTCTAGTTTCCGACTTTTGTAATTAAATTTACATCTCGCGTACATAATAATTTTTCTACATTTTTTATATGGTAATATAATTATCGATTAATTTTCCAGAAAGAAATAAAAGTGAAAATAAAACTAATTGAATGAATTTAAACCGCTGTGAGAATTGTACAAGAATTTTACTAATATATTTTTAATTTTAATTAATTAATTTTTAATTAGATTGAATTCACATGAACTTTAATCTAATTAAAAATTCAAATTAATTTTCCAAATTTTTTGTAATTTACAATTTAAAATTTTATGCCTGTGTATATATATATATATATTATATATTGTATTTTAAAAATTATATCTACTCCCTACAATATATATTATATTTCAATATTACTACACAGTGTGATTCATACCTCCATTCTTAAGAGTTCCACTAATATAGGGAGACCTTTCTCTTTGCGAACAGCCGCGCGAATTTCGATACTCGGCTGCCAGTAACAGGCGGCGAGATTTTGCAAGGCCCCGGCTGCAGCTTCTAGTGTTTCCGGATTCGAGCATGTTTGCAAAAGACTAAGATACGATTGAACCACTTCCGGTTGCCAGAGCAATTCCATTCCTCTGACTGGTTCGGTTCGTGGATTTGTCGTACGTGACGTGGTGGTTTCCTTTTGGACCGGTTGACCGTCTTTCTTTTTCTTGCTACCGCCGAAACAACCCAGATTTTCACCTAAAGCAGAGAATGACAGAAAATTTATATTAATATATTATAAGGGAATATATAAAAAAAATTATAAAATCAAGAGAGAGAGAGTCGAATATATCTTATTGATTTTTCTTTCTGAGTTTGTGTCATATTTATTTGTATTTAATTATTGAATCTTGCTTTTGTTTTTTGACAAGATTTTTTTTTATTGCTTATTCTACGATATTGCAACATAATTAGAGCAATATTGATTAATATTGATCAATATTGAGAAAAGTTCGACTTTTGTGTTCCTAAAATGCTGAAATTCTATTTTTATATTTCTATCTAGCTAACCTACTAAATTAAATAAATTATTTATCTACTTAATAAAAGAAATCACAAATGAAACTGTAAACTATCTGCCATACTTTACAACAAGCTCGTTTAATTTGTCAGTCAATTTTACATTGAATTTTAGCGCAAAATAGACAGTGTATGCAGAAATATAAATTATTTGCTTGATAAGATAATAATTACGACTTTCAAAATTAAAATTAAAAAAAATTTACAGGAAAATATAGATTTAGCTAACGATGTAACAAAGCAAAGCATGCAACAATTATGCCTTTGAATGAAAACTAATTATCGATGGAAGAGGGGGCTTACCTTGACATAAACTGTATGCTAAAAAGATTGAAACACAGTTTAATCCATGCTGAACTAGGATTCGTAAAAAATTGATAAGATTCATAAACTAAATACAAAAAAAAAAAAAATCTTTTTCTATAGGATTCATATATATCGAACTATTATTTCAAAAAAATAAAAAGGTAAAAATAAAAAGTACAAACAAAGATATACAAAATACAGGATTATCTTTGTGTATATATATTTCTGGACACACTGTATATATCTATCCGTTTCTAAAATAGTAAAATGCAAATTAATTGGTAGAAATCAAAAGATAATGTGATAATAAATTAATTGTAAAAAATATCTCTCTGAAACATAAATTTATCTCTACGCAAACTATCTACTCTTGATTGTAACGTTTTACTATCACAACTTTTCTAAGTACGTGATTTACGGTTTGCAGAGTTAATTTCGTCCACGCGCCACCTGAAAACTTCCGGTAAATCGATCCGAAAGTTTTAATCAAATTTTAATACGCTATATAAACTAACTATCTACAACTACTGCATCATAAAATATTAGACTGAGTGTTCGCGAAATACGAGCGTGTGATAAGATTAACTATAATTTCATCGGAAGTTATGTTATAATTATCTAAAAGAGTAATTATAAATGTTTAATGACTTTTGCATACATAAATATTTTAGGTGGAAATTGTGGGTATTTTAGAGCTTTAAATGCAAAAAAATCTGAAAAAATACAGAGAAAGAATTGCATAATTATAAAATAATTTTATAAACGTGCACGTTAATGACATTTCGAAAAATTATATATATTTCGTCTAAATCTAATATAATTATAAAACTTAGCATAAGATAAACTGTATCTAAAAGCAACATATTTATATGATAGTTTCGCGCGATAGCTAGAAAAGAGTGTCCGCAGCAGAGAGGCTGCGTGTTCCCCTGCGATCTAATTTCATGGTTGGTTTAAGGGGTGAATCATTTGCCTCCTCTCGGTCTTTACACAACACACATACACGTACATACAATGATCTGCATCTACATGCATACCGAGGGAGACTCGTGCATGTTGCGGAAAAACATATTCGTTCCAAAAGCGATGCTCTCTTGAGAGATATTTTTTCCTCTCCCTATCACTGCAATTTATTTAAAGTAATGTGTTCACAATCGACTATGCAAGTTTCACGATTGCAGTAGATTTGTCAGTAATTACACGTGTCACTTTCAATATGGTGAATAATTAAGCGATTTAACGCGATTCGTCAAAAATTCGAGAAAAAAATAAAACTTAATTGTATTAATTGCGTGTTTATTTAGCCTTGATTTAATTGATTTATAAGACCACATTGTCTAGTTTCCGACTTTTGTAATTAAATTTACATCTCGCGTACATAATAATTTTTCTACATTTTTTATATGGTAATATAATTATCGATTAATTTTCCAGAAAGAAATAAAAGTGAAAATAAAACTAATTGAATGAATTTAAACCGCTGTGAGAATTGTACAAGAATTTTACTAATATATTTTTAATTTTAATTAATTAATTTTTAATTAGATTGAATTCACATGAACTTTAATCTAATTAAAAATTCAAATTAATTTTCCAAATTTTTAAAAAGAAAATTTAGACATTTGTTGTGTATCTCGAACCTTTCATAGGATGTCCAAAACTGATTTTGGGCTACGTAATAGATTAAAATCTTCCTCCCGATCTCACCTTTCGCGGGTGCGGTGACCCTGTTCTGTACCGTCGACTGTATCGGGTGTTTGTCGTAATTGGGGTCCTCCACTTCCTGACAGCGGTAACTCAGGTTCCTCAAGATGCACACGCAGTTCTCGACGATCTTGTTACCGATGTTAGATTTCTCGATCGCCGAACGTACCACGTAGAGCAATGCGTCCACCAGACCGTCGCATTCCCGTAGATTCTTACGCGCGTATTCACCGGCGCTGGAGACGTTCCTCAGGACGCCCGACGCGTTCCTGAACACCGTAGACCAGCAGGTCTCGCCGCTCGACGAGCTCGGGTCCCAGCCGCTATGAGGTATTATTATGTTGTTCACCACCATTGTAACACCATCGTCGATGATCGACCTCTTCAGATCCTGCAATTGCGCATCCAAATTAATGCGATTCCCTTTTTCAATAAAAATACCTCAATGTAGTTAGAATGTACAGGGTGGTCTATTTTAAAAGAGCCAGTCAAATATCTCGAAAAATATGGAAGATACGGAAAAACGTTTCAGACAAAAGTTGTTTGGTTCGAAGGGGGACATAAGATGGTGCCATTGATGTATTCTTGGATAGTCATTTGAAAGTCACATGAAGGTCACTTTCAATTTCTTAAATGGAAACCCCCATTTTTCATTAC